GAAATGTTTTCTTCTGATTAAAAAATATAAAATAAAATAATACATAAAATAAAAACAAATATTTTATTTAAAAAAGTGTTTATATTGAAATTATCATATAATATGTTTATATAAATTCTTTACAGGAAATCTATTACATAGAAACTGTTCTGTATTTGCATTAAACAATGACAGAATATTTTGATTTACCACTTAATATGGACAGAATATGCAGAATTTGCCTTACAGAGGGTACTAATTTATCTCCTATCTTCTGTACGGATCAAGAAGTAAATGATTTCTCGAGCCTTCCACAAAAGATACAAGTTTGTGGATCGATAGAAATTCATGAACAAGACGGATTACCTTCATTAATTTGTGATATTTGTATCTATAAAGCAAGTGTTGCTCATGAATTTAGACAGCAGTGTCAACATTCTGATGCCAAATTGCGAATGTATTATAATAAACCAAATAAAATTACTATTGTGGTAAATATAACATATTATGTCAATTTGTTATATAGTAACTGTAAACTTGGTATAGTAAATGTAAATGCTTTTAAATATTTTAGGACACATTTACACAAACTGAATCTGAGATAAGAACATTATTATCAAAAAAACAAATTGATCAAGAAGATTATTTTGTGAAAGAAGAAATGCATGGAGTATCAAATTCTCAAGAATATATGCAAACTAATGACACCTATTGTAGAGATGAATCCAACTTAAGCACCAACCAGATTGATATGCAAAATGAAAAACTATTTATTTGTTCTATCGGATTTGAAGGATCTAAAGAAATTGAAAAGGAATCTTGTACTTCAGAGAATAATATACATGAAACATCTCTCACACAAGAGAGTAACAATGATATTTCTGAAACTATTGATATGGAAAATAAACCAGAAGAAAACCAAGATATCAATCAAAATCCAGAAGAGGATGATAAAAAACCAGAAGAGGAATTCTTTGATGATAATATATTAAATGATAATGTCAAAGAAGAAGAAGAAGTTTTACAGAAACGTACTTCTACTAGGAAAGTAAAATCAGTGCCTAATAAAACCTATAGCGAAGATGAAATTCATAATAATTATTATGATTCAAGCAATGATGGTCAAGATTCTAGAGAATTAAAATTTAAATGCAAAGTATGTGCAAAATGTTACAGCACACAAAGAGGTTTAAAAAAACATTCCCTTGTTCATGAAAAAAAGCATAAATGCAATGTTTGTTCAAAAATGTTTTATAGATTAGAAAATATGGAAAATCATAAAAAAATACATGCATCAAAACCTCTTGCATGTCAATTGTGTCATGCATGCTTTTCTAAACCTCAAAGTCTTGTACGTCATTTAAAATCTCATACTAAAAAAGTAAATAACATGATTAAACAAATTAGTACAGATGAACAGAAGGATAACAAGCAACCAAAAAAAGAAATGAAATTTGAAGATGATACTGATGATGAAAATGGTACTGTGAATGAAGTCTATGATTTTGAAAATGCACCTGAGTTGTACAAATGCGAAATTTGTAGTCAATATTGTTCGTCTTTAAAAAATCTGAAAAGACATACTCTCGTACACGGAGATAAAAAATATTCCTGTACTGTATGTAAAAAATGGTTCTTTAGGCCTGATACATTAAAAAAACATGCAGAAAAACATGGTCATGGCTTACTAGACAATTTAGTAGATGATAATAAATTTTTTGACTCTGATGATGATTCCTTTCCAAATACTACACAAAGCACTTTACAAGAGAATGAAAATGTTAAAAAAGAAGAAAGTGATGAAGATGAATCTGGTGAATATAAATGTCAACATTGTGATAAAATTATGGCAACAAAAAAAGGTCTTAGACGTCATGTATCAATGCATAAACCAAAAGCTGAACCAGTTACTTGTGAAATCTGTGGAAAAGTATGTGCTAGTCAAGCTCGTCTTGTTCTTCATCAAAGGACACATAAACCAAAAGAAAAGGTTCCACGAGAATACTTGTGTCATATTTGCAGTAAAGTGTATCCAAGTAATTCTTCTTTAACTTATCACATGAGAACTCATACTGGTATTAAACCACATGTGTGTAAAACTTGCAATAGTGGATTTACTACAACGACCAGTTTAGCGAATCACATTAGGATTCATACAGGTGATAAACCATTTGTTTGCCATGTATGCAGTGCAGCATTTGCTGTGAGTTCAGCTTTTAGACGACATTTAACACGACACACTGGAGAGGCAAATTATTTGTGTAAAACATGTGGCAAAGCATTTAAAAGACTAAGTACATTAAAAGAACATACTTATACTCACTCTGGAGAAAAACCATATGTTTGCAAAACGTGTGGAGCTGCTTATAGTCACAGTGGCAGTTTGTTTGCACATCAGAAACGTTGTCGAGCTCAATATGGAGAGATGGTTGTAGATGACCATCATCACACAGTTGCTCATCATATTCATGTAAATAATGTGCAATCTGCAGTACGATCACTTGCTGTGATAGGACAAATGTTTTAATAAATAAGATTCATAATTTCAAAAAAAAAAAAAAACAATGGTTTTGCTTGTACATCATGACAAATTATATATATATATATATATATATGTCGGAGATGAAAGAACATCGGGATTTCCCGTCCGGAATATTGGGAAAAACCTCAATACCATAGTTCAGTTCTTTTACTATAGCTGCACTTAAGTAATAAAAATAAGAAACAGTTTTAATGTTCCAATCTGACTTTATGGCGATGGGTTCGGGCTCGAAGTGACATAGCAGGTCACTAGACGTAGCCACGGTCACGGAAGGGATGTGTACCTGACAGAGGTATGAAATGATTATATGGCTCTCCTTAAAAACAAAGATTGACCCGAGAAGTGGGGACAGGAGTATATAAGGGCAGTTTCTTTTGGATTACAGTGGAGTTAGTTTGTTAGTTAGTCGTTGGACGAATTGCAGATTGAGTTATCGAGAAGTTACCCGAATTGAGTATTACGTTGATACTTATCATCCCGTTGACTGTGGATTCGTTATCGAACCTAAGACCAACGTTACTAGTATCGCAAGTGCCCAACCACCGCGGTTGATTGTCGAATCGGTAGTATCCATACTCGTATTACCAGGCCGTACTTTCGTTATAACACAGCGATGGCTAATTCAAATGAAGATCTATCAAACGCCCACAACCCTATTCCTGACGCTTCTCCGACATATAAAATATATATATATATATATTATATAGAATATGCTATAATATGACTCATATAGTATATAATATAATATTATTTTAGAAATCATACACTTGTGTAAATATATAAACAGCCTTTTTACAGAGAAAGATTATTTAAATACTCGCATATTTAAATTTTGTAGAAGCTCTAAATGCTTTATTATAACAAAATTTATTTCTTCATTTAAACAACAGTCATTGTGAATATCTTCTAATCATGTGTATATTTTTTGAATATAGCCCAGTAATTATAAATAATATTATACAGATAATGTAATTGTACGAATTAAATATATTTATTTATTTACAGAGTGTCCCAAAATCATATTAAACATAGAAACAAACAAACTTATGTTAGGAGAAATTAGCGAATTTCGTATCATTTCGTAGTTTGAAATTTCGTTTTTAATATAAAAACAAATAAATTTAAAAAATCATCAATTTTCAGCTCAAGCTGCTCAAATTCCAATAATTAAATATATATATATTCATACAGAAGAATTATATGCAATACATTTTAGTATTAAATGTACTGATTTGAAAATGTTTTCAATAGCTTTAATATACTTTACATATATCTTACTAGTGCCAGTGAATTGTAATTATGCCACACACATTTCTCTATGTTCAGTTCTTAATTTTTTAATTTTTATTTAATAGATAAATTTAGTGAATAAAAGAATATTTTTTATGATTTGCTTTCATAAACTTTGATTCTTAAAATAAAAAGAAATTTATAGTATGTAGCAAATAGTTCTGTAGCATGATTTTGGAACACCCTATGTACAAATTTGAATGTATAGTTATATATATTTTTATATGTAATTGCAAAAATGTAAAAGATCATATGATATTTTATACTTTATGTTATTTACTCCTTTCTTCCTTAAAAAATATTAAGAAATTTATGAATTTGTGCTAATATTGGCAGTATTATAATTTTATACAAACGACTAAATCTGTTCCTTTCTGTGACTCACATGTATATTACATACCTGTATTATTTTAAACATTTTACTGTCCATATTATGTATTAAAAAAACAATTATACATTATTAAATAAATCATATATTTTATTTTGCATTTTATGAAAATATCAAACATGTATGAATTGTATAAATCAGTAGCTAGTATTTAAAAATGAAAATTAAAGTAAGTAAAAGTTTTATTAAAAATTTCTGATATAAATTACTTGCACTTTGTGTACATAATCTATATTATGTTTAATTAGAAAATTTAACATTATATTTACTAAGCATATTAATTCTACAATAATATAGAACAAATTATTTACAAGATACTATTATTACCTTTATTGAATATAAATATTTTCTATATATTATATATACATTATTAATCTTTGTACATGTGTTTTCTCATATTTAAACCACACAATATTATTTAATATTAATTGGAAATTATACAATAATTATGTGAGATCATATTCATAAAATTTGATTATCACATATAAGACGTGTAAATAATAATGTATTGCGTCAGCAAAACACATAAATACTGCATATTTCAAAAAATGAAGTTTTTTTAAATACATATGTATAAATATGTATATCAAATTACTTGATACAAGTAATTTCACTTTGTCTATGTTCTTTTTTAATATGCAAAATTCCCTTTTCGTAATATACAAAACTGATTTAAATATTCATATCAATTATGTTAATAAACTTTAGGTTAAGAAGTTTTAACAAATGAATGCTGAATTATATTTAATGAATAAAGGTATTATGTTCTATTCAATATTGTTTATTCATACATAAGATTTACGATTAACATTTTTTTCATTTAATTAAATCCAAACATACATTATACAAAAATATGGAAAATAAATAAAATTAACAACACGATGTGACAATTAACTCGACAAGCACACAAGCAACTCGACACATTTATATGTGAGGCGGATACCATGTCCACGCGGACACCTAGTGCAATTTCGTTTTATAAATCTTGCTAAATCATTATTTTTCAAACGAGAAAAGGTGTCTGATATCAATTGAAAATTCATGATGGTGAAATAAATGACATGAAACTGATTTCGAATAGACCTGGTATGCACCCGAACGATTTACATACAAATATCATAAAAATCTAATACAAAATTTGATAATTCTGTCTTTCATAACGTTTTTTCTTGAGTAATTTATAACGACGCCAAATAGAAATTCGAGTTCGTTTTAAAACTTTTGCTAAATCTGTATATTTCCGCCTCTGATCAAGATTGATATTATGTTCTAAGTGATCCAAAATCATTCTATCTTCATCTGGATGAAACCTTAATATATTAACAATAGTTAAATTAAAAACTACTGAATTTACAGAATAAATTTTTGAAGATTTAGAGAATTAAAGTTATATTACTTTTAATTGCAAAAAATATTTTATATACAACATAACTATTCTTATTTTTGATAAAAAACAAGAATGTTAATGTTGATATAATATTTAGTAGAGTGTGAATATTTCATGAGAGAAGTAGAACACAGAAAGTATTAAATGAAAATCAATTAAGCATTTAATACAAAAGAAGTTTTTTATTTTATACATATATTACCTTCTTTGAAAATTATCTGCATGCAAAGTTCTAAATCTGTGATATACACTGTATAAAGTTCTATTTGGCAAACCATCTGCTAAAAATTGTACAAATCTTTTCCTTTCCTTTTTACTGCGTATATATGTTTTATTTTCCTCTCTCAAGAGTAAAAATGGTTGAACCTCTTTAGGGTTCCAGTGATTTAACTATATCGGAATAATAAAACACTTGATAAGGAAAATCTTTTCAACGTTAAGATATATAAGAATATAGAACATTTTTTAAATAGACAAACCTTACAAAATTCTTTCCAATTATGAACAATTATTTTATCCTCTGATGCATTATAACACCCTTTTTTAATAGATTCTATTTCTTCAAATTTTTTGATTTCTTCATGTGTTGGAGGACGAGATCCAGCACGGGTTTCAATCTCATGTTGTGGTAATACAGGATTTTTTAGCTGTATACGCAAACTTCTTAAATACTATAATAAAAGAAATCTTATATATGTAACTACTTTTATCTGATATAAGCAGTTGTATGAAATATATTACCGTTGCATCCTTTGTGGAAAGTTTGTTTGTTTCTCTAATTTGTTGAGCGAGTAAAGTAACATCATCAAGATCCATCTCTGAAACTATTATTTTAATCACAAAATATTAATGACATTTCATATAGCAGCTTGAAAATCATAGTGGTAAATTAGTCTGTTATTATCTTTTATAATACGGTCTTTTGGATTTATGGATTAATGTTATAAAACTATGTTTCATAGAACATAGAAAACAACATGGCGTTAAGGTAACATGTAAAATACGCTGAAAAAGCTCAACTTTAGATACACATAACTTTTGAACCACTGATTTGATGGATCTTAAAGTTAAAGTTAACTTCGAATTTTACGCGTCGAAGACTATTAACCCCTTAACTTACGATTTACGTTCGAGAATTTTTGGCCGAAAACGTAAACAAGCTATTATATATTATATTATATATTATATTTGGCCCGATCATCGTACTACGGGCTATGCCCGTAATATTTACGTTTGGTCCGATCATCTACTACGGACTATGCCCGTAGTTGTAGGTTAAGGGGTTAAATAACACGAAAAAGATCAGTTGTTGGATCCACAAGGAAAACTTTACCCTTTATATATTAACTACATATATCATGTGTATCTTACTTCGCTTTACATTTCATTAATTTCATTTCATTCATTTCATTACATTACATTATAAAATGTAAGATTGACTTCCGAAAAACGCCTTGCATCCACATTATATGCATATAAGACTTATATATATTAGGTTATCATATATATATATATATATATATATATATATATATATATATATATGATATTCGCACACATGAATATATTTCTGATGTGTTCTTAAGTATCAAGCTGATTATCAGCTGAATCTATCATCATTTTGTGTGATCTACATTAAAGTTACAAACATATGATCAAAGAGGAAGTTGTAATACTGGAAATTATATATCTGAATCCTATATTATAAAGGTATTTGATATAATTTATATATTTCATATAGAACTCTTTTAAAGTGACAGATGCGAAATATTTATCTTATTAATTTAATAATATATATATCATTTATCAACAAAAAGTTATTAAATTTATTTATGTTTCTCTTATAATTAATATTTCTATAAAATAGCATATATGTACATGTCTCAAATTTTATTATATAGAATGAAATTTATGATAAAAAATACTTAAATTATTACATCATAATAGTATTAAAGGGTGTTTTACATGAAGGAGGCCATATAAATATCTGCTCCATTTTTAATGACATGAAAAATGTTTATGACATAATTCGAATGATTTCAAAAGAGAAATACCATGGAAGATAAATTATTTTGTCGAATTATTTCTTTTTTTTTATTTTCCTAAAGTCACCAGTATTTTCTCTTATTACTTTTGATGGATGAAAAAAATTTTTTTGAGTTTGAATCATTTTAATTGAACTTTATTCATTTGACTATCTCTGAATTATAATCTTCACATAATGACGTTGTACCCTAGAAATGTAATGAAATTATAAGATAACGCTAAAATGATATCTGAACTTGTTTATATTATAAATGCTCGAAGTGATAGTTATATTCACCAATAGCAATATGTACTGAAAATATCAACAAAATGATGAATATATTGAGTTATGTTTATTATAGTAGATACTGGTACATACAAACAAGGTTTTTTAGCTGACTGTGATTAGTGCGAATAGATCACTAATAGATCATGAATGGATTCAACAAACTTCTATTTATGGTGAAACTATTCAGTGTGTAAAAGAGGTTATACACTTGTACACAGAACAATTACCATAAAAGGTTCAAAGAAACCGGTAGTGATTAGAATAAAAAACCACAAATGCACGAGACAAATGCGGAAGATATTATTGTTACAATTAACCAAAATCCGCATGTAAGTGTTAACTTCAACAGAGACTCCCTGTATTTAATAATAATGTTGTTGTTATTTTCTATGATTTTAGTCCATTTAATTATATGAATGTTTAAAGTTAATTTTTAAAATATATTTTCAATTTTTATGCAATATATCTTATTGTTCATTATTAAGTCTATGTTAACAATTACAGATAAGAACCTGAAGGTTATTAAATTAAAGTTTGTTTCAAAATTAATAAAAATCTATAAGCCATGGCTTCAGCTTCAAGTACAAGTGCTCGAAGCTTATTTGTTGAGTCAAAAATGAGATTGGCTGATAGAGTACAAGTTAATGTAAACAATATTGCGTCCCTTGCAAGACAAATACAAAGAGGTTCAAAAAGCAGTGAGGTAAAATTTCAAAATACATACATACATTATATTTATGAAAATTCATACACTTTATAAATATCGTTTTTTTAATTAAGATACGTTTATAGATATTAATGCACAGTGCAAAAAATTTTGCACAACAAGAGTATAGTCTAGAAACTGCAGAGGCTAATCTGAAGAAAATTGCTCTTCTAACCACTCATTTAGATTACCAAATGGAATCTGTCAATAGAAGTTTTATAACTTTGGAAGAAGTTACCGAGCAAGTACGTTCTATGCAAAGATAAATTATAATAAATACTTACCCTATATCTTTATTTATAATATATAATTTTTCATATATTTTACACTTTTGTATCATATTATTACTAATTAGGTGTATAATTGTGTATTTTACTATTTCTTTTTTCAATCATATAAATAATTTAAGGCTTCTATATAATAAAGTTTAATTTCACAAATATTTATTGTATTACTATAAAATGTTAATTAAGGTATTTAACTTTACAATGAATTTAAAACTACATTCTCTATTATATTTCTCATATTGTTATTATGATATATAATTTATGCTTGAAATATGTCTTTCAAATGACTTACAGTACATAATTATAATTAATGTTATAAAAATTATAATCAACATATCATCCTGATAACATGATCTGTTGTGTGATTTTATTTAAAATTTATAATCCCAAAATTGTTTAAGAGAATAATTTGTATTAATAATGCACTAAAGAAATCATGTTAAATTCTTTGTTATATATTTAATAAATGATTAAAGGTTGTGAACAATTTAGTATGATTATTAATAACAAAGACCCACCTTTTGTATTTTCTTAAAAAACACAGCTTTTTTTACATAAAATTTTATAATTTTATTGAATATTCTATAAGGCTTAAATTAATTACTTACAATTGTAATGTTACATCTAACCAAAAAAAGATTTTATGAGTTTTGATTGCGTACACAAGATATAATTTGCTAAATAATTAATCTTTGTTGTGAGATTTTTTAAAAAGTTATGTGCCAGTTAAATGTGTGATTTATCAAGGATATAGAATATCATAATGACCAGGGCGATATAATAAATGAACAGCTGGAGTTGCACCTTCAGGGAAATCATGTGCAGTTACTTCAGTTCCAGCGCCTCGATCCATATAACGAACACGTACACCAGTTCCTAAAGCAGTGCTCATAGCTATAATGTGAATGTGATCAGATTCTTTGTACATTGGTTCTACTTCCTATAAAAATAAACATTCTTTAGTAATTAATTTAATTAATACTGATTAAAAAATAAGCTATATATATTAAAAATATAGAAAAATTATAGTTAATATATGTATATATTGTATATTATATATAGAAAAATATAGTTTTTGTGTCACATAACGAATTCTCAAAATAAACATAATATTAATTGTAAATATTGATATAGAATAGTATTCATAGTACTTACTTGACGACAGAACTCTGAAACAGTACGTTCTCCTTCAATAAAATGCTGATAAAAATCAGCTTCAAGCCGTAATTGACCAGAGGTAATTAATCTAAGATATACAACAACATAATCAGAACACCCTTGTTCATTGAAAAGTTTATGTAATTCAATATAGCTTGACTCTGTATCTTCTCCTACTTTATCAATTACATCCATAAACTGTAATACAAAGAAACATTTTGTTTTGAATATTTAAAATAATAAAAAAAATAAAAATTTATCAGTATATGATTTATAATAAAATGTATTTACCGTATCATGAAAATCTTCAACTGTAAATTGGGGGAAACCTAATGCTACCAAACTTTCTTTACTTTTTAATGCAAGTTCCCGAAATTTTTCATATTCCTCTTTATTTCCAATTAACTTTTCAAGATATGCATAACTAAAGGCTCTAAAAAAGCAATTTCCATCTGGTCTAGTTCTCCTAATATATGAATATTTTTGACCTAATGCTTTAGCTTTCGAAAGGTATATTTCATCTTCAGAGTATTCACGTTCCAAACTTTTTATGGATTCTTTCTCTCCAACCAAAGCAATGGATTCAGAAATCTGGAAGATAACGACTTTATTTCATATTTTTATTTCCTTTTATAAATATAAAATAAAGAGATGAAGACAATAAATATTAAATTAGATTGTTTATATGTAACCTATCTATAATATGTACACTTAATTTACAATTCATAATAAGATAATTAGTAAACAAAATGATTATTAAACTCAAAGATAAAAAATAAGAATGGACCTTAACGACAATTATTAAATATGGTTAATGAAAATAATGTAATTTTTTTCATAAAAAATAAATAGTAACTATAAGAAAATTAAAAAAAAATCAATTTATAAAGAACGATAACATATATTAACCTCCATTTCGATACGTCTTTGTTGTTGAAGAATCAACTCATCTTGGTTGATATCTGTAATAAAACGAATATGATAAGTTATATATTCATTCTTTCGAATCATAATATATATTTAAGAACCTGTATTTTCTGTTAATTGCTCTTTGCAAGATTTCTCTTCCATATTTCAAGAAGTTTTCATAAATTTTGAAACGACTGTCAAATTATCAGTCGTAAATAAAAGCCCGATGTCCATGTGGAAATTGAAAAGGCATTTACCATTGTATTAAAATGTTTTAGATTGGTAACTATATCTCTCGAAATAGAGTGGGACGAATATTTAACAGAGTGCATTTTTTATTATATTCGTGTATATTATACAATTAAATTTAGTAAAATGATATTACAGAAAAGAAATTATTGTTCTCTTCTCTATAAAGTTAAGGAATAAAAATATTACGTTCCACCACTAGAAAGTCATGTCTGTTATCACTAGACTGATGTAATCCGCCAAATGTTAAATAACGTATAATTTGAAATTATATGAACATTTACATTTATTTATTTTTAATATAACTAAAAATAAAAGATTCTGATAATATACAACCTTATATATAATAATGTATCGAAAACATAAAGTTTATTATTTGCTATATATAAAGTTAAAGTTTATTATAAGTCTATTATATTAGATATCCGTAATTTTTAAATATTATATTTAATACTATTTAATTTTAGTTAATTATATCGAACTTATAAAAAAATATTCATACGAATCAATATAAAATAAAGTATTCGCTACTTTAAATTTTTTGATATTAAAATTTAAAGATATAAATATAGTTAAGAAAATTTAATATTAACTGCTGAAAATTGAACAAATATTTTTAATAAAATGAATTTTACTATATGTTATGAAATAATTGGATTGTATCAAAATTTTGTTCCTATAGCTTAACTTATTTTAGTGCACCTGAAATATCAGTTCAAATTAATATAAATATGGCAAATTTTGAAGAGGAAGGAAGTGATAAAGAATTAAATGAAAATATTATTAGTACAGGAGGAGAAAATCTTCAAGATTTTCAAGAAGAAGCTGAAAATAATGCTCGTATCGACGAAGAGCAAAAGGAAAAATTAGTAAAATTACCATTAGGTAGAATAAAAACAATTATAAAGATGGATCCTGAAGTGAATATGGTTAACCAAGAAGCTGTTTTCTTAATTACAAAATCTACGGTAATTGTAAAATGTATCTCATTTATTTATGAATTGTGAATAATTTGTATCATAATATTGCTACTATACTACAATAATTACAAAGTTTTTAAAAATTTGTAGTCAGTAAATTTGTAACAATTGTGTTATGCATGTTCTTGGGTTTATGTTTCACTTATATTCCCTATTTTTGTAAATAATTAAATGCCAGTTATTAAAGAAACATACTGTATGCAAATTATAATATAATTTACATTAAAATCTATTATATAAATCATGTTATTTATCAAATTATTTACTTTTATCAATTATTATTTTAATTTCACTAAATTAAAACATTTTAACATATACATATAAAGAATGAAGCAGTTTTTGTAATAAATATAAATAATAAATGTTTCGTGTGTCTTAATTATTAAATCTTATGTCTTATTACAGGAACTTTTTATTGATTCTCTTACTAAAGAATCATACAAATATACAGCACGAATGAAAAAAAAAACTTTACAAAAAAGAGATGTAGAAAGTGCAATTGATAATGTTGATGCACTTGTATTTTTAGAAGGAATGCTAAATTAAAATTTAATGGAAGAGGAAAATACATAGTTTTTATTTTTGATGTAATATAGTAATAGCATTATTTTTGTACGTTATCAATAAAATTGCATTATTATATTGAACAGAATTATATATATAGGTTCTAATTTTCATACTTAATGCAAATATTTATAAAACATAAGTGAAGAATAAATTTACAATGATACATTTTTTATAACTTATGACAATTTAATGTGTAATGCTATAATATAAATATAAAAGTAATATAAAAGTAACAATATTTTTTAAATATGTGAATTAAAATAAACCCTGAAATTTTATTATATCCAGTACATAGTCCAAGAAAACCTAAGTCTTTAAGAAGAAGATACGAAATTGAATGTACATATTCTTTGTATGAGGAAGATAGTGGTTAAATGCATTTTGTTATATTTATATTAAAATTTATTTATTTCATATTTAACATGTATTTTTATTGTAAAACTCATTTAATACAGTTATATAATTTCATCTGCATGTACAAAGAACTGCATAATTTTTTTATTATACAAATAAAATATATAAATAAAATTTTTATTAACATACACATTTATATATTTTTAAAAGTATTTTAACATTATTCTTTTAAATATTCTTAAGTTATTTGTAATACATCTTGTATAATGCAGAATGAAATATGTATATCACAATTACTTTTAATTTTCAATTTAATATTGTAGTATTTGTGTACAATGAATAAACTCTCTAACTTTCTTTATTTGAAATGTCAAAGAATATTGTTCATGTGGAAAGGAGCATTTTAAAAATTTAAATCTAATACATAACTTATGAGTAATATAAAGACAAAAAATCAGTCTTATTTTACACATGCCAATTATTTAGTTTTTATTGTATCAATTGCAAATCTGTAGAGATCATACTTAAAATAAATAATGGTATATATAACAATATATGGTGTCAGAACAGAAATAAGGACCTGAATATGAATATACAAAATCGAATTATTAAATGAAAATATTTAAACTTATTCATTTTTATTGAAAATGGGAATAAAAATATATCTAATAAAATAAAGGGAATAAATGTGGTTAAAAAAGTATCTTTTTCAGAACTGTTTTTTAAATTATTTAACATTACTTTTTAATTAGAATTGCACTTCTTTACATATATTTTAGAATATAAGAAAAGTTCAATGATATTTTATTAGAATGTCCATTCTGATTTCTTTAAAATATTTTAATTAGTACGACTAAATTTTGCATGTAATTAAAGCCATTGGGTTTTCAATTAATTAAAGAAGGATGATATTAATAATAAAATATTATATGTATTCTTTACAAAAATATTTACTTATATCATTAAAGCTTATAATAGAAATTATATAAGTTTGCTTCTTATAAATGAATATTTCTATTTTGTTCCATAAGTCTTTCTGTTTAAAAAACAGGATCACAAAAATTTCTAAAATATAAATTATTGATTTAATGCAAATAATTATTGAAATATTTTAAAGGAAAACAACATAACTAACAAAATATTTCTCCTACTATTTGCTGATATGTATATGGCTCGAATAAAAGATTTAATTAACAATAAGTGATCAATTAACAATAAGTAATTAAGAAAAAGATATTTAATGGTATTCTCCATTTTCAAAATATTTTCAACTGAATATTTTATCAGCGAAAAACATTTACCATGGAATCAACACATCATTTATGAACCACTCTCTATGAGTTTACTAATTTATACCAACATTCATATTGAATATATGTACTACTAACGAAATACGTAACTGTATTTTATTATTATACTCAATAATATATATATATATATATATATATATATATATATATATATATATATATATATATATATATATATATATATATATATATATATATATATATATATATATATATATATATATATATATATATATATATATATATATATATATATATATATATATATATATATATATATATATATATATATATATATATATATATATATATATATATATATATATATATATATATATATATATATATATATATATATATATATATATATATATATATATATATATATATATATATATATATATATATATATATATATATATATATATATATATATATATATATATATATATATATATATATATATATATATATATATATATATATATATATATATATATATATATATATATATATATATATATATATATATATATATATATATATATATATAACATAAGCATATCACTTACATTCAAATGGTTCAATTTATGAATTGAACCATTTCTAGTTAACTCATTACATTATTTAAAATATTTTGGAATCAAGCGATCAGAATGGTACATTAATTTATACATTTTTTCTTGAACTATTTTTTATTATAATTTTAAAAGTGACAAAAACATTTGTTTTTTAGTTTCAGGGTATTTCATAATAGTTATAAAAAAATATACTAATGCAAAAGATAATTCTGAATATAAAATGTCAAATTTGCAAAACTTAATTGTTATGGAAGTATTCTCAATGGAAACTTCTAACTTTTTCCAATATTAATATAACTCAGTCACTGAACTTTTTTATATTATCCAGATTTTAGCTTCTCGAATATTTCTTTTGTTAATATAGAAAATTATGAAAAAATTATAAACAGCCTTTTCAATTGTTTACATAGAATCTTATTTCCAAAAATTTTAAATAAAACTTTGAAACTTTCATTAGAAATATTTTCTTAATTATATAATTTCGAAAGTATGTTCATGTAACATTTTGCATTTTGAATCATTCTATTTTTACATTCTAAATAATGTAAATTTTGATATGAACATTATCAAATATCTTAGTACATCAATTACATGCAAGAGCTACTATTTCAATTGTAACTCAAAAACAACAGAATTTAGAAGATATCAGAATTGTTGTGTAAGTTTATAATAAAAAATTGTTTAATGTTACATGGTTATTACATTTTATAGATGTTAGATTGCAGACACATTATTTGAAACAATTTAAGATAAAAAGATCCTGAATTCCTTTCATTGCTTTCAGTTTCTTTAAATACAGGAAAAATTATTGAAACAACTTCCTGCATAACTATATTTTGCACACTATATTAAGATGCTATGTAATATTATAATATTTGAGTATTATATTTGGATTAAATTGAAAGATCATTTATATTTTGCTAAGTATTGAAACTATTACTTTTTATATATTTTTGTTTTTCCTTTGTATTAATAAATTCTTTATTTATAAATATAATGTGAAAATGTGTGTATATGTGGTTCCATTTTATATGGATTAAAAATTAATCCGTATTTTTGAAATTTTAATTCATGGTGCATTGTGAATTTTAGTATGATTGTAATCTTCTGTATTTTAAAATACATTAGAATTGTGTTTTTTTTAATCTAAAGTAATACAAATTAATTTTATACATAAATCAATGATTTAGGTAAGAATTTAAATTTCTTACCTAATTTTTCTACTATTGTTAAACAAATATTAGTCACCAAGTTATAAAATAAATTGTACTTTGCAATATTTTTGCATAAGTAGATACGTTTTTAAAAAATAAATTATCATTACAATAAAAATAAAAAAATATTTTTATGACAAAAGTTACATAAGTATACTTTCTAAAATTCATCATCAATATGATTCCAATATTGTGCTAAAACTAATGAATATTATTTATATTTGTATGAAGGAAAGAATATATAAGAATTCATTTGGGAGTACTATGTATATTATTGTATAATTATACATGATGGATGCTAAGAGATTAGGAAGTAACTTGCCATACTTTTTACTTCTTACGTTTAGTTTTACGACGCTTACAGTCCCCTCCAAAAGAACTTTGATTTGGTGGACTTGAATTTCCGGTCTTGGTGTGATTGTATAACTTTTTTAAAAAGTTCTCAAAATCTGCCTCACTATTCAATGTATACAATCGTTTACAGAGTTATACAATATCGGAAACCACAAGATATTTGTGAATTTAACAAAAATTCAATACCTGGTATTTGGATCTATTTGTTGGCGTCTTTTACCATTATTAGCCGTTCGTGATGGTGGTCGTTGACCTAAGACAATTCTATACTGAACACTATGTGTATTTGCTCTTAGGTGTTTTAAATTACCAGCTTGACAAGCTGCCCAATCTGTGACATCATATACTGCTCCTTCCATACAGGCATAATAATGCCAAAGAAAGCCCATTAAACGAGACTCTGCCCAAATGTCTCCCTAATTAATTTGAAAAATGTAAATTTAAGAACACAGTACAATCCATTTGCTTTCATATAACACTTTGATAATTACTTCTTTTGCACCATGACGTATTTTACATTGAGCACAATATCTTGCTGCATAACAAGGACGTTGTGTTGGAATTCTTTTGTGCCTTAAACCACAATTTGTACATCTTATTGTATTTGCTGCCTGTTCCATCTTTCTGTGAAGTTGAGAGAGTAAATCACTTAATACACCCCAAGCTGCTTCAACTTGTCTAGTTTGATCAAATGCTTGTCTACGTTCCTAAAATATTGAGAGTGTAGTACAAAGATAATATGAACATGAAAAATATAATTTTGCTTTGGGACAAATTTTTTATTATATAGTAAGTAAAAAAATATGTAGTACCGGTTCACCAATTATATCAAATGCATGTACAAGTATTTTGAATGCTTCTTCCGCACCAGGCTGATTATTTTTATCTGGATGAACCAAGAAGGCCTGTCTCTTATAATACTTTTTAATATCATCATCTGAACATGTTGGCGTAACACCAAGTATACTGTAGGGATCCTTTCCTTTACAAGCTAATAATCTTTTCATAGCCTCTTCACCAGTGCTAGGTAATGCAATATTGGCTTCAAGACCACCATGTATCCAAGAATTGTTTTCTTCTTTTTCTTCATTTTTAGTTTTTATTTTACGCCAAAACGCAAATTTACTATTACCAAACCAATTATCCAATTGCTTGCCAATAGCATTCAAAATACGAATTTTTGAGAATGTCATAGCCATATAAACCCATAAATATTTTAAATATAGTATAGTATGATACCATCCACATTTTCCACTAAAATATAAACACAGAAGTCTGATTACTGGTACTATACAAAACATATTAAAAAATAGTACACTATAGAATTCAGTTAGAATACTTTTTATATTAAGCATTACTTACAGAAGAATCATAAGATTAGCACTCATGCTAACTACATCAGATACTAGATGTAGTAACCAATGAAATATTTTTAATCCAATTTTAATCCAATGGGTAGCATATTTATTTAAGTTTTTATATAAATCTTTGACTGGTGATTCCCTATTTTCTCTTCTTCGATTTCTTTGAGCCTTTTTAATTTGTGTTTTTTCAACTTGAAAACGTTTAGAATTCTTTTCCTTGGTTACCTTTTTTTCTTCTTTATTTACTTTATTCACAACCTGTTGATTTTTCTCTATTTTTTCAGAATAAATAGTTTCACTGGAAGTGTTTATTATATTTAAATTATTATTTATTTGTATGGGACGTTTAGGAATATTTCCAGTAGATTTAGGATTATTATTTTGAACTTTTGAATTATTAAGTGTCTCTCCCTTTTCTGCTTTCTTAGATATTTTAGAAACTTTTTTCTTTTCAAATTGGTTTGATCTATCAAAACTATTTATTTCATGAACTTCAGTTGGTGAACCAAGATTATCTAATGATACCCAGCGTCTTGGGAGGTTCGAATTATTTTTTTCTAATACTTTTCGTGGTATTTGTATTTTTGGGGAATTGTGATCATCACTACCAGATGAATTTTGTCTCTTTAATGTTGTAGATTTAGATTTATTCTTTGAATTTTTATTAGAAACCTTCTTATTTACAGATTCTGTTTTGGGTTTTATAGATTGAACTGTTAGAGGAGATGGAGGTGTTGGGGCAGATTTTGTTAGAACATCAGAATAAGAGGGTCGCATAGGTTTAACTTCCGCTACCATACGAGGTTTCTTATGTTGAAAGTCAGTTGAATTTCTAGGCAATTCTTCAGGATCTCTAATATCTATGTTTGGTTGCAGTACTGGGGTTACATTTGGAGATCCACCAAAGGGACTATATGTACCAGACTGGTTTGGCGCCCAATTACCAACCAAATTCTCAATTAATTGTTTTCCATTAAAATTTTGAGTTGGTAATTCAGATGGTACATTCATGTGTCGATCATTAAAAAGACCATATTCTCGATCAATTATGTTTTGATTTCTGTAAGATGTCATATTTGAAAGCTGACATTGTTCTGCCATAATTTGTGAAGCATTTCCATAAATTACATTAATATAATTGCCTCTTCCAACATCTATAGTGCCGATTAAATCATTATTTTCATTTATACCTAAGTGATTTACTGCTTGAGATGGAAAGTAGATTGAATCTGTTGGAGAATCATAATTCGACATATCTTGCATATAAAGAGGAGCACCCATTGGAGGCATGGATTGCATTGTGGGTGGATTAGAATGACAAGATTGACCAGCAATATAATGTCTTGTTTGATTTGACGAATAATTTCCCCAATTATGAGACGTAGTTTGTTGTGGATTTACACCAAATTGAACATAATGACCATTAGAATTTTCTAAATCTGAAGTCATAGCTTCAATAATTTTATCTAAAGACATACGTTTAAAGCCAGAAGGTGACTGTTGTTGCTCTGCCATATTGTGATATCTTCTTAAAAAAAAAAAACATTATCAAAATTGCATGCATGAGTAACAAAATATTTTTATTGAATTATATAATAAAAAATAAAATTCTGTAGCAAACATTCTATTAAACGTAGGTTTTCTTTATACCATCAAAAACAAGTTATTCTGTGATAAATATTGTATTTTCCTTCTTTGAAAAAAAAGAAAAATGAATAATTTGAAACTGTTTGCGGGTTGTATACAAAAGAAATGTAAAAAATCTATACAATAGAACAAAAACATTGACGTAAACAACTTTATTTAAATTACTTGTGACATAGAAAATAATCTTAAATATAATTTGGTAACCTAAAACAAATGTTTCTTTGTAAAATCATATCAAGTATAACGATGTAATGCTTACATTTATCGGCAAGAATATCACTCTTGAATATCCGTTTACATTATACTTAAAATAAACGGCTTCTTAACATATTGCAAAGGAAATATTATATTTAAGTAATATATACAATTTTAAAGCATATACCATGCGGTTAATACAAAATCAGTCACTATATTTGTTCGTGATCCGCACTACCAGCAGATTCATAAACGGATCATATAAATAGTTTTCTGTCTGTATACATACAACCACGTATATAATATTGTTGCGAAAAGTTCCTAGGTAAACGGATATGTCCAATTACAGACCCGTTATGGTTTCGATATATAGAATTTAAAAATAATTTTCAGTAAGAGGTTCTTATTTATTTATATTACATATTTCTTTATAAATTTCTATTCTCTTAAATTATTCTCTTAAAGTATTCTCTTAAATTTAACAATGTGTTGCGCCTTTTTACTAGAAAAGCGTTCCTACTATTTCTATACAGGGTGAGTCTAATAATTGGGCCGAACTATAACTTTGTTGCTATTACAGGTAAAAAGAATTTGTAGCGGAAAATTTTACGTTCTTTATCAAGATTCATTATAATGTATCATTGTATAGCGCGATTCTTTTCAGAAATGCACAGGTCGTAACATATAATTGCGAAATAAAATTGCACCTTTTTAAAAATGGAGTTCTATGATTCTTTTTATATTAATTGATTCCTCATGCTATTCTAAACAAAAGAGTATTAGGACACAACGTCATGAAAATTAATATTTCATGAAATATTTCAAATCTTATACAATATGCTTTAACGTTGAGGTGTAGCGTTACTATTATGTTTATTAAAGTCTAGTCCATAGTCCATATTACGATTATATAAATACGTGTCGACGTTCGCTAGGGGAAATTATCTAAAAATTGAGTTGTGAAAAGTCAACATGGGAGACAACAAAGTTCTCGTTCTTGCAAGATAAATATACATGAATAGTGTGTCTCTATCCTTGTCTCAGACATTCATGTCGGCATATCACGCATGTAGAGAATGAGAACTTTCTTGTTTTCCATGTTGATTTTTCACGATTCAATTTTCGGACAGTTTTCCTTATACTTTGATATATGAGTGCTGAAACTATTCAAGATTCAAGACCTGTTTATATGGAAACAGTTCATACTATCAGGAAAGGACTTTTCTGATACTGCTAATTATGCATTGTGCTACTCACAGCATTGACAAAGTGGTTATGATACTGACAGACAAGTGAGACAAATGCTGTTTATGTTGCTTGATATTCATACTTCCGTACATTTCGTTAAATCATTAATCATTACAGTATCTAGAATTATATCAAATCACGTCAACGTACAATTGCATCGCAATAAGTTTTACAAGTAACGAGAAAGTGGATATGTTTATCGTTTTCATCTAGTGCGATTATAATTCAAATGTTGTAACAGAGATGTATCGCTGTGAATATACTCTAGAAAAATACAAAACAATTTAATAAAGTATGGTTCATTCGAGTAAGGAAAGAAAAGTTATACAAAGCCAGTTGTACAAAATTAGCAAAACATGAAAATTAGCAGCAGAATTGCATATCAGTCCAAGTTCGGGATACCGAATTTTATAGTTGCAATAAATTTCTTCACTATCATTAGTCTATACAGAATACTTTACATGCTGGAAATAAGTTTTGTAGAATACAGTTCTGTTGATTCTTTTTTAGCAAAGTTATTTTTTACATAAAGATTTAGACATTTGTTGATAAATTAAAAATTGTATATTTTATTCACATCTTTGGTTTGCTGCTCATAAATATCTAAATCACAATATATTAAAAATAATACAGTAATATGAACATTATAATACTATGTAATATATTACTACATTATGTACAGTAAATGTAGATGATATACATATATATACACATATATATATATATGTATATATATATATATAATATATATATATAATATATATAATATATATATATATATACATATATATATATATCATCTAAATCATCTATATCATGTAAATTATATCAATAACAATAACAATGACATATCAAATATACGTTATGTATAATGTAAAATATATATTAATAACAAATATATGAAATCCAAAATGTAAACGATAATACTGTAATCATAAAAATAACAGCATAGTTCACGTTCACTGATGAATTACAAGGTATGTTCCCCCTTCTAGATTGGCAAGCACATATTTCTAATACGTAACCTTCAATCTGCAAAAATATTGATGATATAGATTTACAAGAATGTATTTTTAAAAACAAAAATTAGTAATATATAAAATCCAGCAATGAATATAAAAATTGAAAGAGATGTAATAAGGAAGCAACTTTAGCTTTCAGTAACCAAAAATCAATTAAAATTCAAGTAGTTTTTTAAATATGTTACAAATTCATTACAACTTCTATATCAATTAATATTTAAAATAATAATATTTTGCACTTTTGAACTGCCCTTCTATTGTTACAAACCTCTCTATTGATAAGATTTTTCAAAATATTAAATAATTCTTGAGGAATACCCTTTTATGTAAACAACATATAAATAAGTTAAATAAAGATTATTACATATTGTATTATTTCTAAAATATAAAATAATGAACTTAAAATTACACTTACGCTTTCTTTATAGCATCCTGATGTGATAGGTATTACGTCATCTTCTATTACTTTTCCACAAAACGATGATGTATTAACAACTGCAATCATTTTTAATTTTATGGTATCCATTTTATATTTTTTAATATGAGCTGTTATAATGTAATATACTTACTCTCATTATTATAAGTAAAAGTATATTTTATACAAACATTGCCAGATGCAACGGAACATACGTGTTTCATTGATTCCCAAAATTCTTCATATTCAGATGCATTTGGTGCTTTTTCTAAAATATAAGCAGCAATTACGACTTTGTAATTACTGATTAAAAATAATATATTATAAATAAAAATATAATAATTAAAATAAATATTACTATAATTCTTCTGCATAAATATAATTAAAAATATACACATAGTACCATTATTGTGTAGAAATAATTTTAAAGAAGACATTGTTTACCTGAATAAAGTATAGGATCAATACAGGGAGCATTTTTGATTTTAGAACAATTAGTGCTTCTTAATGCAGGTTCTACCCAAGTGAGATTAAAACAGTATGAATTATCATCTGCTTTAACTAGAAAGTAAATGGTAAATGTAATCTTATTACTTCTTTTTAATTTTTAACATGTCAAATATAATTACCTGATAATAAAAAACTTCCACAGATAATTAAAAATACATATAACTTAATTTTCATCATTTTGATCTATTCACTGATTTACTCTGAACTTTTTATTCTACTGACCACCTTTATAAAGCTTATCTGATAAAAATAGTTGTTATCATAGTGACTAATCACATATCAGATATTGCATCCATTGTAGAGTCTCATATTAAACTTGATGTAAAAATCACAAGTGTATTTATTTACATATAAAGAATAAAGAGATAACTACAACGGCCATTAGATATATACAATGTACAAAGTATACTTTATTAAGTAAATATTTGTAATTTATTACAATGATTAATACATATTTACACTTTTGAAGGATGTAATGATTTTTAGTTAACAATGTTATGAGAGTAAGTAAAAATCAGCCATTATAGAAAAATTCTTAACCTACTAATAAAGGTAAAGTATCTTTAGTAAATGTTTCATACAGTTTGTCCTTGATGTTCACACAATTATGCTTTTTGTTCGTTTATAAAGGTATAATTATTTAAAAATGATATACGAAATTTTATTAAAATTCGTCATGTCTGGCCAATGCCTCACCAAAATCAGTTGCTTGAGAACCAACAAAAATATCATATTTTTCCAATATTTCATCTTTAGTAAGTTTTTGGTCTGCATCTGTATCTGCTTCAAATATGAGATGCCGAGATTCTGCTTCTGCATGATCAAAGTCAGCCGGGATAATCCATGTTTTGACCTAAATTGAAATATTTGTTTAGTTGAAATTTATTATTTTGATATAGTCATATATTTTATATAAATGTGTCAATGTGTCACCTCTTCAAAGTTTAGAAAACCATCGCCATCTTTATCCCGATACATAGAAAATTGTTCTTTTTCATTTTTTACCCATTCTGGTTCTTCTTCACCTTCTGCACCATCATACATATCACCTACAGGAAAAGGTATACTTCACTGTTTCGTAAAAGATATAATAATAAAAGATTTTGTTTTATAAGAAACATTGATTTTAAACAATTTTCACCAAATATTTGCACCAAATATAAATGCAAAAGGAAGTGGAATATATACCAATATATTCTGAAAGAGATACTTTCCCATCTCCATCTTTGTCAACATCTTCCATAGTTTCTATCACTACAATATCTTTCATATGATCTGCCTCTTCTGCATGAAGGAAAGCAAGAAATTCTTCTTTCGTAAGAGCATCATCACCATCTAGGTCTGCAGCTGCCCAACGTCTACGATCTTTCTTAAGCAAAGCAACATATGAAAAAGTATTATCTTTAGATTTTTCATGATTTTCTAATTCGTGTTCATCCATATCTCCATAAACCATTGCTAAATATTCTGTCCATGGAAGTTTCTCCTTTTGTTCAGGGTTATGAGATTTCCATTGATGTTCAACATCATCTCGTATGTAGCGTTGTTGAGTATATAATATCCAGTCTTTAAGTTCTTCTCCAGTAACATAACCATCTTTATCTTTATCTATTTTATCAACTATTATTCCTAACCTTCTTGTACTTTCTTCAGGAGTAAGCTGATCAAAAGTTTTTGCTTCTTCACCTAGGAAAGCCTCGTGGTCATAAGCAGGATTATGTTGAGAATTGACATAGTGTTCTTCATTACTTGGTTCCTGAAATAGATCTTATTAGAGAAGCGTAAATTAAAAATATATAAATAAATTCATATTATCTACAGTGAAAATATGCATATATATTATTTATTTAAAAAAATTTTATCTCAAAGAAAGGAGAACAGTGTGAAAAGGATATTTAAATGTATTCCTCGAGGTTATGCGTTGAAGATTTGTTTATTTGTTTATGTAAGAAATTATTTTTACTATAAAGCAACTGAAAATGAAAGGTTTTTATTGCATACATATCTAAACAGTTTGATTTATGTATATATTTGCAAATGACAAACAAACCTTATTGATAACTCGCGATTTATGTTCATCATCCGGCTTCGGAATTGCCGTCGTCAAAACAGAAAAACCAATCAAAATTTGAAGAAGCATGAATTCTTGCATAGCTCACTTAAACACGAGTAAATGAACGAAATTATTAGGACTTTAAATGTTAAAATTAAAAGTAATGATAGCTTCTATTTTAGTTTTAGTTCAGTTCAGCTTACTGAAACTTCCACATCAGCAAAGCTTAATGTCTTGCTTGATGCTATATCCCCACTTCTCAGCTATATATTCGTTTTACAAACCATTTCTGATGCTGATGCTGCAATGCCTTTGCTCTATATCGCAAAGTATCATAATCATGCGAGTAATTGTGTACACTAGTAGGATGTTTATTAGCTAAATAGCTATCGTATTAACCCGCGTATGATTGGTTCACGTGATTATCGATAAATGTAAAAGATACAATTTTATTTAATCAAAATAACATACTATATTAAAACAATTTAGGAATTAATATTACATTAATTTTTTAAATGAATTTACCCTCTATTTTTGTATTAATATTTAAATATACAAGACATTTAATAGAAATATTCTACAAATATTAACAGATTATTATAGAATTTCATTTTTGTTTAATAAACATTAATGTACACATTGTAAAAATCATAAATAATGTAAATATTAATTATAATTGTTGATGTAATCTAAATTAATGTTTTAATTAAGTAATACGTAATAACGATCATGCTTCTGAAAAATTGTGCCGGTACTGGGTTAGGAGTCATGAGAGTCAAGACGATTAACTTTTATAATTGCGGATGATTTAGAATTTAAAGAAAACAGTTATAGGAGCAAATTTCATAAAAAATGGTATGGAGATAAGAGCTTCCTATCTCGAGTAGTAACAAAAAAAGAGAAAACATAGGATAAACTCAAAACGAAACCATTATTATGATAAGTAATAAGAATTAAATAAAATAAGAAATAAGTAGATGCTATAAAATAGTTTTAAGAATATGTAAATAACATCAATTATAAGTTAATAAAACATAAGTTGGTTAAGTAGTAAACATAGTTGAGTTATATATCTCGATACATTTCATAATGATAATAATAATAAAATAATGATGATATGAAAAGTGGTACATATATGTCTAAATAATATATATAATTATATTTGATATTAGTAGATATATTTTAAACAGGTAATATGCGTGTACGTTTATTGCTGCAATACTAATTGTTTAATTAAAAGCTATGGGTTTAACTGCTTGGTTTTTAACTACACAGCATGTGCGTAATTAATTATCAGAGTTAATTCATCCATTCTTGCTCATATATGTAACTAAGAAAACTACGCGTTCGTTGAGTGGATACATATACAACTAGAACCGTACATCTAATTTTAGATCCAACATCTGTTACGATATTTCCTGTGAAGCTTCTATAAGTTGTAGCTTAAAACTTTTATCTGAATACATTATATATTATACATACTCGAAATCAATTATAAAACTGTATACAATTATAAACGAGATTCTACATATGTAATATATATTATATAACAATTAAAGCTTTTGTTATAATCTATCATTATTTCTCTGTTTCATTCATCCTTAAATTCATTTTCCAACAGTACGTATATGAGCAATATGACGCAAAAGGAAAACAACAACAAAAAGATGCTCATCCCTTTTTCAAAGCTGGTTGCTTTAGTGATCATTTTCTATAATGAATGAGTCACTTGCAACGATTCTCTTATCTAGGGCACGCTTATCCAGTTATCTTATATTTGTCGGTGATAAAGAGAATACTAGCTGGAAGAATCAGGTGTACACTGTCGTATTCATCCGTAGTTACCACGTTGTCCACGTTTTGATATTAATTCAAAAAGTGATTTTTGCGGAAGAAATCCGCGTCCAAACGTGTTTTTTGTTGCAAAATTTGTTTGGAATACACAAGTGTAAAAATTAGCTCTAAAACAATGGTTGGCAAAACTTCCGGGCCTCAATTAGAGCAACGAATTCAGTGTATAAAATTTACCATTTTCTGCTTGAATGCCATCATATGGGTAAGCGTAAAAATAGAATCAAATATGGTTACATTTAACTGATAACAAATTTATCAAACACTTTTTTATCGACTCATTCATGTAAAAATTTACATTAAATGGCATTCATTATCATTAAATGAGTCAATGAATGACAAGATTATGCGATTTTTAATAGAATAATATCGTGGAAAACATCATTTTTTAATCCCTTTCTGACAATTTTATTATCTACGTATACATATACGTTCTTTCTTATTTTCTTTCTTTTTACATTGTTATCAATAATCAATTCATCACATGCAACTGTTTTGCAGGAAGTAATTTTTTCATGCAAACGATTTTTAACGATTGATTATATACTGTAATACACTATATACCTAACGTAAACGCTTTTGCACAGGCAATTTAATTTGAAATGCTTCTTGTTACAACATAGGCACATCCTCGTTCCATTTGAATCAATATGAGTCAGCTCACGACGCGGCGTAACTATCATATCTGTGTTTATCGGCGTGACGAATACGAAACTGTAACGGCTTAAGAACTAAATGTTAGAAATGAAACTATTCGATAAAGTATATATATATATATATACTTACACATATACTTACATATGTATACTCACATGCATTATCCTTTCTTTTCCCCATAAAATTTCTTTCACTGTAATGATTTTTTTCTATTCTTTTCACTAAATTATTTGTTTTTTAAATTAAAATATAAGATCTATTAAATAAAGATTAAAAGTCTTGACTTTTGACTTAAACGAAAAAGACAATTGACTTAAACGAAAATTACAGAAGAAAAATGAGAAAATTTATTTAAAATAATTGATTGAAATGATTTCTTAAATGTTATATGTATCTTAGCTACTTGGAAGCTCAATGTTTGGATTATGCATGTGGCTAAGGATGGATCCAGATTTCCAGGAGTGGGTTGCGTTCCTTGAAATATATGAATTCTACATCGGCATTTACATCCTACTTGCGGCTTCGATATTTATCGTAATTATTACGTTCATTGGCTGTGGAGTCGCTCTTATGGAACATATCCTTGGTCTCTACGTTGTAAGACATAGATACATTATGACTATATTGACTATATTATCATTATATATATCGTAATAACCAACTCGTTTTAAATTAGGCAAGATATATCAAATTAAGAATATGTATTTGTATTCAACGAATTAAGTTCTCTATAAAGTTAAGAACACTTTGTTATTAATTAGAGTATTTATTACTTACAAAAATATGCCAATCCTAAGCAATCATTGTATTGATTTTTCAAGTATGTAGGATTGCAATTACTTTCCTACGTTCTTGGCCTGGCAGGGACAGCAGTTCTCCTCGATTATTCCACCTACGACAGTAATATTCAGCCGCTTATACGACGATCCATGACCTCACTCATCAACAATTACCACGATCAAAGATCGACGTACATTCTACAATTAATTCAAGAGAGTGTAAGATAATATGTTTTATTATTTTATTACGGTGTTAACAGATGTACACATCATATAATTAATTACAAGTGGAAATATTTTCGGGATTATTTAGCAGATTAGTAAGTAATAATCTCCGTTGTAGAGAAGTCAATGTAATCTCGTTATGACTTTTTATTTCACATTGATATAATCAATGTGGGACAAATGAATAAGACGATATGTTATATTTTATACGAAGTATATGTAAAGTATATGTAATTTAATCGCTTAGTGCGCTTAATTCCTGTGACATGTAAATCATTAAAATTATCTTTGCAGATTCAAGATTTCTATAAAAAACATGTTGTTCATTCATTTGCATTCTAAGTTTGTTTTTTATTGCAAGAATCATTTTCATCGACAAACCGAAGAAAGATCTGTGCGTTAAGGGATTGACATATCTGTTAAGAGATACTTTTAATAATTCGTTCTAAATAACCAGTGAAAGATTAATCGAGTAATTTTAAAATAGATCGGTTGCTGTGGTGCCGATGGCCCGATGGATTATATAACCTTGAGGAAACCATTACCCACTGAATGTAGGAACACGGTTACTGGAAACGCCTTCTTCTACGGATGTGTCGAAGAAATTTCATGGTTTTTGGAGGGTAGATCGGGTTGGCTAGCTGGTTTATCATTGGGTCTATGTATGCTCCACGTAAGTATATTTTATATCAACAAAGAGATGAATATTAAAAGTAGATTATTTCATAAATATTTGAAAGTTATTATATCTCGTAAATTAAAATTTGCAGATAATAATAGCTGCCCTAAGTCTAGCGCTGATCCGAGCTATTAAAAAAGAAGAACAATCCGTTACATTCAAACATTGATTTGTATTGATTTAGTACAATGATGTACGTTAATAATAATCGTTATTAGACAATATTAATGACTGGACTGCAGATGTTTAGATATATTTGTGGAAAATTTAAAAGTACAAACATTTGCAGAATACCTGTAACGCGAGGAAGTATACAAAATATCCAAAGTAAACCACAAATATTTAGGAGATGAAACAAATGAGGTTTCGTATTTTTGATCGTTTTGATGCAAATATGAATTGGCATAAACATTCGCAGTCTACTAACGGCAATCAATGACAATATAATATTCACTTTGTGAATTCATATCTATGAAAAAATGGACTGAAACGAGGAGAGACAGATTTAAGATCAACGAGTTAGACAATGTGTCGAAGAAATATACGAAGAATATAGAATATTCTTCTTAAATTCATCTTTTTTTAATTTTTACTTATAATAATTACTCGCTATAGCATTTTTCGATGAAGTAGAATACATGCTCGGTATGTATATACTGAATGTATTCTTAGCTAAAAGAAATCTTTGTAGTGCTATTTAGAGCAAAAGAAAATTAGGTGCACGTGCTTGTTCTAAGTTTAGAATTAAACTTCATTACGTAATCTCTTCATACGTTTTATATTTTTAAATGGTTCACGTTGCTTTATCAGAATATTAAATGAATGATATCATGCGAGCAGATTTAATTTAAAGGCATAATTTTGTACTTAATACATATTTTTCTTTCGATGATAGTAAAATAATCTAAATGAAAAATTTAATTTATTCTGGTTGAATCAACATATTTGATATACATTTGATATAAGTTTGTTCATATTCAATTTTGTAATGTCTCTAACTAAACTATTTCTGTATTGAAATTGTTTAAACATTTTATACAATAGTCACATCTTAAACGATGTTTAATTTAGATTTTAGTTCTAAATAGTAGACGATTTAAATAATTAATATTTATACAAATTTCGAACGACTTATACACTTGATTAATTGCAATAAAATAAAATAATTAAAAACCATTCTATTAACTATCATATTCTTTTAAGTATATGTTTTATTTTTATGTAATAAAATGAAGGACTTTTATTGTTTTCATATAGTTTATTTACAAAATTTCTAATATACATACAATACCAATATAATAGTCACTATAATTATTAATTTATATACAATGTCTTTTTTATCAACCAATTGATTTCTATTTCAATCAATTTCTATTTATCAAATAAACAGAAATGTAAAAGATTCTTTCTAAACTATTTATTCGTTTCCGATGTTGCACATTACGTATGCACGACTAAATCACTATACAAAATGTAAGTTTATTATTTTTAATGACAAATGGTGAATGTACAAAAAATTCTTCAGGAAACAGCTGTGGAATATCATGCATTTTAATTAATTTGTTCCTGATTTACTATATCAGTTAAACAAACAAGTGCAAAGTACTATAAAAGAGCACATTAACGTCATAAGTAAAAATTAGCTTTTTGTTCCAAATTAAAACATGGCAAAAATACTGTTCTAAACATCTTTAAATAAATATCTCAATAATGTTCGCTTTTCACTTATTAAATTAAACATTTAGTTTATAATGAGCAACATCAAAACAAATATTGGAATTTTTTTAATCGTGTACCGAAAAATTTGGAGCATTTGTTCTATCTCTTTTTGTTTGATTCAATTGCTCATGTGTTATAATGTGATATGCCAAATGCTAAACGTTCAATCAATCTGGTGAGAAAATATGTGTGATACATTTTTACACTTCTTGTACGTATCTGTAGAGTGATGTACATTTAGCACCTACTTTAAAATTAATTTTCCTTTAAAATTAATCAGTCTTTATAATATTATAATTCCATTAAGGAATATTTCAGTAAAACAATTTCATCGTTATATTTTTATCAGATCTATATATAATTTACAATTTGTAACTCACTAATTTAAGTTACTAATATTATTAATTAATAAATTATTGTGTAACAGGATCGTAATATAAAAATGATATACTGTTTCCTGTGTTCTATTTTTATAATTAATTTCAAGTTCATCGAACATTCGAAAAATTCCAAATTCCACGAACGTTTTATTATAGACGGCATGTCACATCATAATGCATGAACAAAATGCGAGTATTAACGCATTCCATATCAGAATGAGGAACGCGTGTTAGTTGCGTGCCAATTAAAGACGAGAAATGCAACGGTCACGTATTTACGTACTTTTCGCTTTATATTCCATGATATCATTTGCTCTCTATTCTTCGAAAGTTACAGAGCAACAGCTTGTATCTTACATACTAATACTAAGTTCTAGACTTTAAATACCTTAATTAAGATTATGCTAAGGTACGAAATGTCTGGACGGAAAAAGGACACATTGGAACCGATCGATTCAATTGTACATTCCAAACTGAAATTTGATCATTGAAAAGTAAGATAAGAAAACAGGGAACATCCGTTATTTAATGACAGTTTAATTTACAGTTTATCTCTAACATATTTTATTGGCAACTGGAACTGCAAGATTTGTTCATTTTCTTTCCTAAGTTTTAATTAGAAAATAAATCATGTTCTGAACAATACAGTCAAATTCATCGAACTTTCTTCTGTTATTAATGGACTAGAGTATCGAAAACCGATTTTTTCTCAATGAAGTTCAATGACATTCTCCTTATCCTTTCTCTTACTCTTCGATAATTATCATTTCTCACTGATTTGTACGTTTTTGAGCCATACCTATCGAATCTACCATTAGGATCATCATCAATCTCTAGTATTGATCCGATGCAAATGGGTTTTGTTCGTCTCTCAGAAATTATATTTCTTGGAAAATGACATTCTTCAGTTCTCCATATGTTTAGAGCAACTCGTATCCCTGCACGCTTAGCGCGGGTTGCTGAGGCTTTATCCTACAAATGGGAAAGGCGGGTAGCCAACAGGCGGAGGATAATAACCTGGGAAGGCTGGGACTGTCGGTTGTAGGGGTATGGTGCTCGTAACATAAGTGGTAATCTCGGTTGGTACTACCCTGCTCGAGAACAACGTGGTGTACGCCGTTTTCGCTCCAAATGTCAGCTTCAGAATTTTCGAATCGGACACCGTCGCGAACGTTTGCGTGACCAGAGGAGCGCTTGTCACCGTGAACTGGGGTTGCTGTGGAAATAGCGGCAATTGTGGTGGCAGTTGCGGTGGTAATTGCGGTGGCAGAACCGGTGCAATCGTGGACGTTCCGTATTCATAAGATGTTCGTGGCACAGTGCCAACTGGCCTGGATAACGTCGAATAAATCGTATTGCCGTTGTTCACTACCGGGATCACGTGGGACTCGTAAAGCGTGTCGAGAACGACGACCGGTCGTGAAGTGGTGATCACTTGTGGCTGCTGTTGACCGAAATATTTCAACAGAGCCAATTGATCGGGAGTCAAGTGCGGTTCGATGGAAGTGCTCGGAGTTTCTGATTTTGCTTTCGAAGATGAAATTGATTTGAAAGGTTCTAGATCAGAATCCATGTCATTGTTTGGAGCCACTACCCTTTTGGGAATATCATCGTCATCTCTGTCTTCGTCACCGACATCTAACTCTAGATGAAGTTCGCTACCTGCTTCATCCAGCTTCGAGTTAAACTCATTCAACGCTTTGCTGGGAATAAACTGATATATATCCATTGGTGGCAAAGTCTTTATAGCAGTAACCACACGTGCGATATTGTACGTTTGCACGAGCGTCAGTTTGGTTGTGTTACCACCGTGTATTACAGGAAGTAGATGGGTTTTGAGTAGAGTTTGCGTAGTAGAGAAGGTCTCGGTCAAAGTCTCCAAAGGTGGAGTCGCTTGGCCAGATTCTAAAGATATAGCTGGCAGAGTCGCCACGGCTGAATCTAATGGCAAGGTCGTCTCATACGCTGCTGCAGTATTTGCTAGGAGATTCTCGGTTAGCGGCTCTGACGGTGATACCGTGCTGGATGGATCTATCGTTGAAAATGATTTCTTCAGCGTTGAAGTTACTGTCACGTAGCGAGTATTTCTCAATGTTCCAACCTGTTTTATCGAACGAAATAAATATCTTATCAAAATATTTCAAAAGGCAAATTTGTGCAATAACTATCGAGTATTCTTTTAGTTGATAAAACTGAACAATTATTTCATTTGTAACTGGAATTGCAATAGAATAGAATTAAATATAATTCATCGAATTTACAAAGTACTGTCAGAATTGAAACATTTCTAGAAAAATATATGAAAACAATTTCTTACCTGGAAAGTGTATGGTGACTTAATAGTAGCAATTTCGAAGTACACGTTACTCATATCAGCAGCTGTGGAAATTTCAACGTTGACCGTTTCGATCGGTAAAATTTGTTCAGGATGTTGATCCTGAACGCTGACACTGGCAACATCCTCGCTTTCGCTCGGATCCAATTCTTCATCGTTTACCGCTTCTTGAATTTTTCTCTGAGCATTGACCTGTTGACCTACCCCAACAGCAGCCGCCGCCGTAGACGTGGAAACGGAAGATGCGGTAGTTTTGCTGTCGTCGACGTTTACCGGATTCTCAGTTGTGCTGGTTTCCGATATCGAACGTTGTTCGTCCTCGACATCGATTTGTTTTCGGATAGCGATTCTTGGTTTAGGAGTCGTCTTGTAAGACCAACGCCCTTGTGTTCTTGGTAGCTTCAACTTCGGCACAGGATTAGGGCTAACTGGTTGTTGTTCGTTTTTATTTTTATTGTTCTGCTTCGAAGGCAAACTTGGTTGATTACTTGGTCGAAAGCTGCTGCGGCGACGAGTAACAGGTGGTTCTGTGGTTGTTGTTGGAGGGCTTCGATTTCTGATAAAATAAGAGTATTAAAAGTAAATTTTTTAAATTATACTATCTATCAGTAAAATTATGTTACTATACAAAAGCCACATGAAAATATGACAATTTTAAGATACTAACTTATAACTTGGTCTTGAGGTGGTACTGCTTCGATTTTTACCCGGCTTCGTTTGTTGCACCTCACCACTGCCATCGTAATCATCGTTAATTTTGTTGCGGAACTTCGGTCGTGATAAATTTGGGCCTGAGTTTTTCCGTGTGCTCCTTACTGTGGAACCTAACAACGTGAAACTAAGATTATGTCGTATTTATCCATTTATGCGTCAGGCTTGATAAATGTATTTTATTATTATTCCAAATATCTTACTTAGATGAATATTATCGTGTCAATGTCATTAAGCTCAATTACATTTTTGAAATATTTGAATATCAATTTCTTGAGATTAGAACATCTTAATTGAATATTACAACTGTTAAAATTTTTAAAACGAACGAATTTTTTATAAAATTCAAGTTGTAACTTCAACTAAATTGCTAATAATCTATTAAAAAAAGGTACTTAAACGTCTTTATGGAAACATCCTAAGAACAACGAACATAATATAATACTGAGAACATTTTACCAGCTGGGGAACTAAACAAAACTTCCAAGGGTAGCGATGATTCTTCTTGCTGCGTCGTTGGTGTAGGTTCAAGTTGTGGTTTTAGCTTTCCTTGCTGCGGTCCAATAGTTTTTAATATTCTATGTGTACTAGAGGGGCGAATTTTCCCTTCAGGAACTGGCGGAGCTCCGGAGAGAATTCTCGACGAGCTTTGAAGCACCTGAGCGTATTTCCCGTTTATGTAAGTACCAATCACGCTAGTTTCGTGAACAGTGGTCAATCCATCTTTAACAATAGTGCCACCGAGCTTCGTAACTAGACCAGTTGGATTCTCTTTCTCTCGTCGACCAGTAGGTCTAGGTTTTCCATGGGGTTTCGAAGAGGGTCTCAGATTAATTAACTGTGAAAATCAAAACAAACATTATTTTAATTTTGAGGCGATCTGAACATTATTCATTAAAGGAATATCGATCTTGTAATTGAAATTGCCAGCAGAATTGGTTTTCAAAAAATTTACTTGGCTTTTGAGCAGATCTTGTTACTGCACTTTTTTGTGTATTTTACAAAAACCAAATTGTCGATACTTAATTATTTCTACGAATATTACGAGCAAATGGTCTAGAAAGAAAGTTAGTTTCAAATTGGAGACAATAATTAAACTATGAACATTCTTTCGCCATTCTTACGCGTTAGACATTCAGATTTTTATTCGAGTGAACTTTAAGCGTAAGCCTCAAATCGATGAGCTACAACGGTGAAATCGTTTATCATGCGATCTGACGATGGGATTCGACTTTCACGCGGTTCATGGCCGATTTCTGCGTGATAATAAATCTAAAGATGAATAGAGATACATATATCTAAAGGAAATATAAATCACTATATAGTAAATAGCTACTTTTACTTCGATCAAAGAAAATTATCAACGCTTTGTATTTCAAGGATTGTACATTTAAAATCTATTTATTACAATATTGTAATCATATTTCTATATAATTATAATATTAATCTCAATAAACATAATCTATATTGCATTTTCGTTCTTTGTAAAATACACATTTCTGTAAAAGATTCAATATTATAACATTCTTGTAAGAAATATAATTTACGAGTACAAATTAGACTTTCGATCGTTTTCAGTAACACTTTATTCTTCAGAATCTATAATAAATCATGTAAATATTTCAGAATCTATTAATTTGCAACAGCGAGAACTAGATCTACTGGTTCAGTCACCTTATCTCATATTTACGTACGATACTGCAACTATTTGTGTCAATGTCAATAATATGCAATGAGGAAGGCTTAATAGGTGAAAAATTGCGTTATTGATCAATGACTTGGAACGGAAGGCTTTCCTGTAATTAATTGTACATGTAACGCAGAATTATTCACTATCGTTCAATAAAGTAGCTACGAGTTCACAAGATAGTAAAATGATTATCAGAAAATCGATTAACGAAGAATTATATTAATATTATGAATATAGCATATAAAGCAATATTAACTTAAAACTTAGAAATTTAATTAACACGCCTATTAGAATATTGTTTGCGATTCTAACAAATTTTGAGAATCAATATTTTATTAAAAAGAGTCGTCCAATTTGTTTACCTTGTACGTCTCGTCAACTACTTCTGCAGGTTGCTTCGATAGGAAGTCGTATTCAGGTTCCGCAAGATTATTCTTAACGACTGGTGCTTCGTCCTTTGATTTTACCTGCACTTGCGAAGATATCACAGGACTCTTTGTCATTACCTGTGTTTGAGTCTTCGGTTCCTGTAACGTATATTGCATGTAATAAGCAGGAAATGTATGTAAATTACATTGAACATTCATAAATTTTATTTATTACTAGTAAGTAGAGTATATGAAATGATACACATTATTTTCATGGCAATGGGCTCAGTATAATGTTATTGGTTATTAATTTTTCATTATTATCCTTGGAGTTCAGAGAGAGGTCTTTTCGTGTAACAAGTATAACGACGATTAATGTCTTTAAATTCAGCACAGCATATAATTCCTCCTTTTCTTTTGGTAATCATCTCAAAGCATATAAATTATGTTTTGTTTGGTTGAATATATACACATGAAATAAGCACTTATTGCAAAAGTATTTAAACTAGCTTGTGAATTTTTGAAAATATATAAATACTACTTTAAACGTTTAATAAAAGAATGAACTAACTCACAAGATTTTGGTCTGGACGTGTTTCACCTTCGTCCCAAAGTTCTTCTACATGAAGTGCGATTTGCATCATATTTCCACAACTATATAAAATAAATGTCATTTATTTTTTAAATCGTCAAACAATATAAAAATCTACGTATCATTTCGTTTAATATAATTCGAAGCGATAAGATGCGTTACGTAAAAAGACCTCGATATACTCCCATGTTTCACAAGAGTCATTTGATATTTATATTTTAATTCAATGTGGAAAAAATGAAATTTAATTGGGAATTTCCAACACAACGTATTGGAAGAAAGTTGTATATGAGAAAAGTTTAACTTTCAACGTTCAATAAATTGAAATTTATAATACAAACATTACCTCCACTCTGAATCAATTTATTTCATTGGCAAGACGTTCGTATGAATACTATCACAATTCGTAATTATTTATTTCATTAGTATTCAAGATAGAACGCTTTGCTGTAAATTCAAAAAGCGTTAAAATACGAAATCGATTGGAGATATTAGACGATATATGCGATAGCGGGTTAAATCATTTACTTTAAGTTTAGGCGATCGTTTGAAAGTAGAAATCTTTTACACCAGTGTATTATTACTTAGACATAGATAAGTATGAATAAACGGCTTAAACCGGAAAAGTTTGCTTGGTAGAAAGGAAAGTAACTTACTGCTTATTTTATACATATTTTAATTATACCATATTTCTATTTCTCGCAATATAATACGAGATTTTAAAATTAAACGATGAGTCAAAAATGATAATCAACGTATGATCAATAAATCGTGCGATTATACTAGCGAATATTTCTTGCCTCGATAGTTATATAATTCTTTTTCTTTATATTCACGAAAAATATCGCTAATTTATCTCACCTGATTTTTTACAGTTCGTAATCCACTATCTTCAGAATTAATGACATTCTGCTCGATCACTGAATTTACAACAACCTTCGTGCCTTTAACTTGCTTTTTCGTTTCTTCCACGGAATTTGTCTTAAACGTCTTGCTTGGTTGAATAGCAGGAGGCGCTTTTTCCTTCGTCTCGCTCGGTTTCGTTTGAATAATGGAAACGCTGCTTTTCTTTTCTTTTCCCCCGTCTGCAAGTTGGTTTCGACGAGTAATTAGAATCATCAAAATATCATCGAACTCTTATATCGAAGAAAAAATCGCGAACATTTATTTAACACTGACAAATGTTTCGAACACTTTAAGTTCCCAGTTTTCGATTCGCAAAATTTTCCAGAATTTTTATTACGCGATCTTTCAATTCTTTTCTGTTTCTTCACCTCCTCCGAAATAGAATAAAAATTATATATTCAACCTTTACGAAAAATCGATCTCTTCGCATACGTTACATTAGTATCGATGTTGACTCGATCTTCATTCTTATTCTATATTTCTGTGCTAAAATACGAAGCGAAAATTCGAAGACATTGAAATTAATACAATACAATAATAAAAACGTCAAACAATAGGTTGATAAAGGAACAAGGTTGTAAAGGAACAATAAGATGACAAACGGGAAGCGTTCTCTTAAAACACCTGACAACAGGCAAGGTGTAGCCAAAACTATGTGTCAAGAACATCCGCAACTTAAGACCTTGGTATAATTCAACGAATTCGCCGATTCTTCGGATCTCTTCGCTCAAGTGTAGTTTTGGCAATGTTTACCAAGGACTAAGCAATGATTTAATCCATAGTGTCGCTTCAACGCAACGTTGTTCAGAGGCAGAACAATTTACATATTTTTGTATATGGAGATATAAAAAATAAATTGGCGTCAGAAGCTCTAGAGATTTGAAATGAAAGGATCATCGTAACGTTACACGATCTCAATTCCTTCAAAATTCGTACAACTGGAGAGCGTTATAGCAATAAGAGGAAGCTGCAATATTTAAATTGAATTTACTGAAAGAGTCACGAGAGAAGCGGTCTATTACTACGAACATCGGTTAATTATAAATTTATAGCAGTATAGTTTTAAGAGGCGATTCAATTTTCATCGATTCTTGTCGGCTTACTCAAATTTTTGGAAAGTGGAACTGCTTTCTTCACGCGATGATCTCTTCACTTATGAGATCTAGGTGAGAGAAGAAATATTAAGGAATATTAAAAAAAAGAAAATATTAAGCAAATCCGTGTCGTTCCCTTTCATAATCATTATGTTGAGAAATAAAATTCAGTAACGTAAAGGAACGGGGAAAAAATTGTTAATGGAATGTTGCGTCAAAGCGTTGGCCCTTGATGCGTTAAAGGCATACTTATATGGAAGAAGAAGATTACAAGATATAAGATTTTAGCCGCTTCGTCTTCGGCAAAAATTGTCATTTATCGCGTGTTTCGCAGGTGTTATCGCTAATTGCGAATCAAAGTGCCTTGATGGACACGTACGGGAACGAGGTCACTCGAGGTTAATATAAAAAAAAAATTACAATTTATTACGTGGGACAGTACGTATTTTCTCTGGAATAACGAGATTCCGTTAAAAACGATGGGGATGCTGGAATCGATTAATTTAAATGACGCTTCTTGGGCGTAAGGATCCATCATGATTTTTTAAGTAGAAAAGTACGAAATAAGTACCTGCTGGCGCGCTTTGTGGGCTGAACACCATCACCGTGTTTCCAATCGTGGTAGTGAAATCCAAGAATCCATAGACGGTTTGTGTAATAAAGTCATCGTTTACAACCGCCGGTTTGATCACTACAGCGGTCTCGACCGACTGACTCTTGTAAACTTGGGTCGCACATTCTGTAACTAAAAGTGAAATCAAATACTTTTTAATATTGCTTATCTTCGTTTCATAAACGATCGATTGTTCGAGGAATTGTCGTTAAGTGTAATGTCTTTATGTAATGTGTTACGTTGCGAGATACGTAACGCGGTAATGCGTGACTTTAGCTTGAAATTCCATAAAGGAATGTTCGTTTTGTAAATACATAATGCAAAGAAATTTTGTAGTTTTCTTTTTAATATGAATCTAAAATTGAAATGCGTCAGTTATGTATGGTATTGAATTTATGAAATAATTTATAGGATTTTGAAATTAAGTTTTTGTTGGAAACTGAGTAACGCGCGTACTTCGTTAGACGTGTTCGCGTTTCATCGATTCAAATTATTTATTTTATTTTATTCAAATGATTTATTCGAACATCGATCGAATTACGCGATTACCTTCGTCGATTTTGAATTTTCCACTTTACATTTACAGCGTACAGCTTTACGTTTACAGCGTTCGTTTGCACCAATTGAGATCTAATTTTTCAGTTTATATTTGTTTAACATCTTTGTGCGTATTTCAAATTTAGTAGATCGTAATCGTACAAAATTGTGTACACATTTTTTCCCGATACGACGTACCTATACTTGTAATAAACTTTTCCAGAAATAGAATATAGTATAATTTTATTTACAATAGTGTAACTTACAATAATTTACTTTCTATTAGGCACTTGTATTATTGCACGATTTATTACATAGATAAAATGTGATAGGAACGGAATAAATTGACAAGTTACCATAAAATGAGGTAATAATTGCTTTAGCTCACGAAATTGTATCTAGAAACTTAAGGAAGTCGAAACGCGTGTAATTTCTCTAATCTATCTATGACGAATGAAAAATAACTTTATATTTTTTACGTTTTTCTATTACATAATTCCTTTGTGATGCAATGAAACGATAACGAAACATCGATACTTGTATCTACTTTGTTTCCTCCTTACATAGAGTTTCATAGAATTCCCTTACCTATGAAAATAATAGTAACAATTTAGAAAAAAGCGTTAATAATAACCCCCGCTTATAAAAGTAACTATAACTTTATTTTATTTGCAAGTAAGAACGTAGAAATCTTTTTGGAACACATGAAACCTCCCTGAACAGATTATGTTGCCGCACATTAGGTACGCATTATACATCAGCAAACAAATTACAATTATAATTACATAATTTTCGAAAAATGAATAAATAAACTTGGAAAAAATTGTGCGATAATGGAGGAATATCGTTGGAATTGTTTGTTTTTCAAGAGAAGACGAATCCTTCCATCATGTTGTTTATATCTTGTTATCCGTGTCAATACTTCTTTATTTTTTACACAAAGGATACTAGAATTTCCACTTAAGACAATCTCTTATAAAAAAGATTACTTTCTAAATTGCTGTCTAGAATGACGTTCCAAGATAATGCCTATACAGCTTCTGCAAACGATACGTTTCTATATCATTTCATTCACGTTATGGAATAAAAACGAAAGCAGAAGTGGCGAACGATTTTTTTAAATTTCAAATTGCGCAAGTTGTTCCTCGTAGGTTCCTTTTTGTTTCGTAGAAAATCCGTTTCGTCGCGAAATTTACATTTGAATCATGGTTAATTTTGCACTCGAGTGGCGTGTCCAAAGTCTCGAGCTCGTCGATGCTGTAACGAAATGAGCACGACGTTGCTTACAAATCGAAGTCCTTTACATTACAGAAGAGTACGTGTATACACGTATATTTGTATATATAGCTAGTACGTGGCAAGTGTGGGAACGAGTAGCCATTTGATAATAAAGAGACGCCTTAGGTATCCGAGCTGAAACCTTTTGATCAACACGTAGCGTACTAAGATTAAAGAGACATGAAAATGGGTTTAAAAATATCTTGCGCTCAAGAGACGGCAATGTTCAAAGGATTTCAAGAGAAATTGATATTCTGATATCGACCCGTCCTACTTTATCGTCTTTCTTAAACGATATTTCCTGAAAAGATACTTTTTAATTTATGAATATTATTAGCTCTATTGGCGACAAAAATTTGCATGTATTCGCGATCAATATCTTATTAAGATAATATCAATATCTTATTAAATACAATATTAAAATACAGATGGACGAATACTCACCGCATACTAAAGATATGGCAATAATCAAATATTTCGACAGCATCGTAGTCAGTTTGATTTCATTCTACGCCAGAGCATGAATTTTTAATCTGAAACAGAAATGCAAATATAAAATATGCATGTACCTACTAAATATAAACTTAAGTCAAGTATATATTTATTTAAATAACTGTGTATTAAACAAACACGAATAAATATAAATTAAATAAATCTGTCGCTTAAGGCTTATTTAACAACAGCCCTTTCTTCAATATACGACCTCGTCGATTATTCGCCGTACAAATTCAGCTTGAATTCTAAATTGCGCAATAGTCTTTGCGTTTAAAATTAACCGCAGTTGAAAACGATTTTTCAGAGGACAAAAAAAAAAATTAATCTCGCCGCACAATACCGATACTTTTACATAATATAAATGTGGTAATGGAAGATTCCAAGAAGGTAATCATGGTGAATGCATAAATAAATGGTTCTGCTGGGCGTACTTTTCAAACGTTGCACGCTTCACAGCCCTCGTCATTAGCATAATGGATTTTGTGCAATAATTGTCCTAAACAAATACTTTATACGTAATATGTCACGAAAGGCTCATGGAAGGAATATTATTATTCCGTGGATGGGATTGTAAATAATCGAACAGGAAAAAAAAAGACACGTCAGTTACATCAGTCGCAGAAATAGTGATAGTAAAAATAAGAAGCAGAAGATATTTATTGAATTATAACTACCTCAGGAATATTCAACGTGTTGAAACTTCTATGTCTTCCATCTGTAATTAACATTGGCACACATTTGCAAATAAGGATAATAAATATCTTTTACTTATACGTTCTTCTTTTATTGTTGTATATATCGTTGTAAACTTGAAAGGATCTTAGAGAACGTTCGTTTTTGCAAGAGGATGTATCTTTCTTTATTTCATTAACGAAATGAAATAAATTGTGTGATCTTTGACGTTATAAAAACTGCCTTATTAGAAATAAATTTAAGTATAACTAATATTATACGAATTTTAGAGAAATTCTTGCAAATTCGTTTTCACGACAGTGACAGTGTTTTTACATAATTAGTATCATTATGTACGACGTTTAATATCTAAATAACGGCTACTTCAATCAGATACTTGTATAAGGAAGTAATACATCATATTACATAATTTTTTGAACCTTTGTTTTGTACTTTGTATGTAATTTATATAACATTTCACACAGTTAATTACGCTCATTTCTATTCAATTTTTTGCCAAAATCTGTATGCTGAATTCTTAATCACGGCAACATGAATAATTAGCCCCGAGAATAACAAAAATAAAATACAAAAGCGGTCCTCCAAAAAATTGTCTCGTTTATTTAAATTTGTTAAGATATACGATCGTATGCAAATAGTTTTTGTATCCTCGTTATCTTCAGATAAGCCTACGTCGTATCGTAAAATTAAGTCTTTGCAACAGTTTAAGCAAAATGTTAAAACTTGAAATTCTTATACATACACGTAATTAAGATCAGTAGATATATCGAGTTACTTTCTAAACAACACGTGTGTCGAGTCCTTGCAAAAAGCCATACACACGTTTACTTTGTGTCTAATCTTTATATAAGTTGCCATATATCAGCTGAAGAAATGAATTCTTTCCGATTTTTGTGTGAAATGGAAGTTGTAAAATAGAAAGAACTCATTTTTGCGGCTAATACATTTATATATATATATATATATATATATATATATATATATATATATATATATATATATATATATATATATATATATATATATATATATATATATATATATATATATATATATATATATATATATATATATATATATATATATATATATATATATATATATATATATATATATATATATATATATATATATATATATATATATATATATATATATATATATATATATATATATATATATATATATATATATATATATATATATATATATATATATATATATATATATATATATATATATATATATATATATATATATATATATATATATATATATATATATATATATATATATATATATATATATATATATATATATATATATATATATATATATATATATATATATATATATATATATATATATATATATATATATATATATATATATATATATATATATATATATATATTATATAGAATTTTCTACCTCATTAAAGGAATTAAGAACGGACGCTTTATCACCAAATTATTTATATTTATGTATCGATGTAATTATTATTAAGATACTTTTAAGCGGAATTAGCAAAATTAAAATATTGAGAATCCTGAGACAGAGTTTCATCAGAAACTGCAAAATCTTAAATTTGTTCAACGTCAAGGAGATAGCAGGATGTTTTTATTTATGCCTGCATAAGAGAATAAGGAACCTGCAAAATATTGATATAATATTCAATATTTGTGTGATTTCGTGTATATGAAACACTATGTTTTATGTCTTTTTCATTTCTCGATAAATACGATAGCAAGTAAATTGTGTTACGTTTCAACAATATGTGTCTCGACTCTCACCCGTAACTCGTATCTATTTGACACACTTTCCCAGTAAAAAAAGTTATTCGGCCATTTACAGAACGATTTTTCTCAAATACTTTTACTTTTATTTCTTTTCTATTCTCTGCGAAGAATGCGAAATCTCAACAAAATAATTTTCAAAATTGATCACTCGTCTCTCCGTTTCGTTGTCCATTTTTACCATGTGTCAAACTGACACCGAGGGACACGTTAAGATGCGAAACTGAAGAACGGGTGAGATCTAATACGTCGAAAGATTCGTAAAGCTAACATCTTGTATTTAAGGGGTGTATGCAGACTTAGTGTACGTAAATAAGGTCAGTATGTAGAGCCACTCTTTACTTTATATACATGTATAATACATCATTATAATATGCAACGCATCCTCGTGACGAGACGAGACGTATGAATGGCGTCCTGAATGATGCGCTATCTCATCGTGCACATGTACAGAATCGCGGACCGTTGAGAAGGCAACGAAATTATTGCATAAGAACAGTGTTGGTAATCAGTTAGCGTGAAACAATAGTAAAAGGCAATACCGTTCCAGCTTGGATGCTTAACGGGCATGACTGGAATTTATAATTCTAGATCGATTCGCAACACTAGAAACGATATCAATTTTTCTTCGCACAGAAAAATTGTTTGCTTATAGAAATCTTCATTTACATTTCTTCTTCAAGTTTTAAGGATAAAAATGATTTCGAACGAAAGTTGCAAATTAATACTAAAAATAAGACGAGAGTAAACATATGGAAAAGAGAAGAATTAATCGAATTAATCGTTTTTTCTCCTTCGTCTTTTTTCATCTTCTCTTTTCGTCTTCGTGTTCGTCGGAGCATTCGTCATTGGGTACGATGGTGGTTTTATGGGGAATTTTGATAAGAGAATTTTATATTAAATCGACGAAACCAATGTTAGAAGTATCGTGAGTTCATAACCTGTTCCTTTCACTTGTATTCTTTCAAGATATTGCGGCAAGGTGTTCGTATAATCCGCGCGCTTGCGGTAAAAAGCGCGAGCGATCCTTGATTCGCGCGTTACTATCGCGAAACGCTGCAATAATAGGAAAGCTGAAAAGTAATTATCGACAATTCGCGCGTTTCAGCGGTTTGTCATATTATTTCGTTCGCGCCAGCTACACGAGACGTATCGTCTTTTCAAACGAAAAAGCTGGCACGGTGACTAACAAGCGAAAATTCCACTATGCTTTTCGCTTTGCTTCTCGCCTGTTTATTCGTAAAACTTGGATTATCAGTGGAAGGGCTTTTTTTTTGAATACCAAATTTTGATTCGCGGTACTTCAGGGACTACCGAGTTTCAAGGTGTCATTCCATACGTACGCGGTAAGGAGTGGTCTCACAAATGGATCTCTACGCCACTGTGATACCGCATATACAAACAGGACACGTTCAAAGAAACGTTAGGGTGCATTCATACAGCTGAAGCAAAGAGTGTGAAGCAACGAACATTTCGTTATTCGCCTTGACGCAGGTATTTTCTTTTTTTCTTTTTTTTTGCAAATCACAATTTGCAACCAACTTGGTTGGCCTTTCTTGGTCACGCGTAAATTGTAAAGGATCGTGAATTAAAAGGAGATTTATACACACATATTTATCGTGATGTTCCAGATGTTCTAATATTTTTCGATATTTCCTCTATAATGTCTTGCAATTAAACTGCGAATGTTTATGTGTTTATTCTAGATCTTGAATTCCGAGGAAGCTTGGAACTTCCAGGATTCTTCAAATCTTAAGAAATCTTATAAACAACGCAGAACTCCTCAGTTCCAGCTTTGAGATAATATTTTACAATTCGTATAATTCGTGTGCGTTGTATTTTAGAAGCTTGGAATTATCGGGATGTTTCTAATCGACGAGTATCGTGTCTCTTTGCTCCTTCAAATTACGTTACGAATTTTCGGAAGCTCGTAGATGTTCATACTCGAGGCACGAAGTACTATATTTCAAAAATTTACAACTTACAGACAGAGCGACGGGAGACTTCGTAACATCGTTATTAGTAAAATACAGACCTGCAAACGAATTTTAAATCAATTTTTTTTTGACTTGTAAAAAAGATGAAATATGGTTCGTTAGTTAAGGAAAACCGAGAACCTAAATTTACATTGCAAATCGGCATTACGATATTTTGAATCGAAATTAATTTCAATCTGGCTGTGATTCTATAAATTATCGTAACGTGGATAACTGTTAAGTACGAAGTCACGGATTTCTCTGACGTAATCAAGCGTATTACGAAATACGAGTTAAGCATACGAACAACGTGAATTGAATTAATAATAAATTGAAGTAATATTTAGTTAAATCGTTCTTTTGCTTGTTGCTTCTACGAATAAATGGGTTTTCATATATCAGTGTCTATTTGCCAAATTTATTTTTCGATTATCATCTTTAACGTATTCTTGTTGCGGTTTCCATATGACAAATACCATGTTTGGCAGAGTGTTCGAGTGTTAGGTACTTAATAATTCAGACGAACACCATTAGTCGACTGTTGCTACTCGTGTCTGAAATATCCAATAAACA